AGAACTTCATCAGGATTTTGACAAGCAAAATTGAGGCTTGTAAGGATAATCAGGAAGAAGCATAGAATCAAAGGAAGAGCAGGAAGACAGCACAGGATTTGTGGAGAGCAGACTAAATACTTGAATTGGCTGAAGCATCCACAAAGGATGAATATGAAAGCATATCTGAATACATGATGCAAAATCACTTTTCTTATTTTAAAAGTTGCTTTATATGTTTCTGTTTCTATTAAATGGAAAGAGGAAGTAAAGTTTCATATGCAGGACCAAGATCATGGAGACAGACTGATATAAGAGATGTCAGAATCTTATTTTCAAAATATGTAAAATAATGTTCTCTACACAGGCTTTTCTCAGTTATTAATTCTCCTCATTTCTAACTAACTGATCCTGATCATTATGTCTAGATAAAAAAATTAATGCCTCCCAACTTCCATACCAAAACCAAGTATCACCAACTTCCACGACTGCCTCAAAACACAAGGTGTAACAACAGACCACCGTCGACCTTCTTCTACAAATATTAATTTGCAAATTTTGGGGTGTTCTCCTCTTCTTACATTATAGATACACAAGCAAATGAAACAGACACATACACTCACACACATACACACAGAGAGATTTTATCTGACAAACTTCTCAATATTGTTCATCTTGTTTGTTTCTACAACACCTGGGACCAGTCATATAATCTACTTCAGGAGAAAGAAGCAAATGTTAAACAGTTTTGCTCATAACCCAATAAATATTGCATGAGTTTTGTTCTTATGATGTCAATAATATTCAATGCTTACAGTAACTGGTGAAATCAATAGAACAGGTGCTATTATCCTCATTTGACCAAAAAAAAAAAAAATGGCATTCTAGTCAGCTTTTTCATTACTGTGGCCAAAAGACTCAGTAAGAACAATTTTAGAGGAGGAAAGTTTTATTTGGGGGCTCATGGTTTCAGAGGTCTCAGTCCATCGATGGTCAACTCCATTCCTCAGGGATTGGGATGAAGTAGGACTTCATGGCAGAAGAATGTGGTAGAGAGAAGCAGCTCAAGACATACCAGGAAGCAGAGAGAGAAAGAAGGAGAGAGCTCTGCTCAATAAGCACAAAATATATACCCCAGAGGCACACCCCACAATGACCCATCTCCTCTAGCCACATCTTACTTGGCAACAGTTACCAGTTTATCCCTCTCAGGGGATTAATTCACTGATTGGGTTGAGGATTTCATAACCCCATCATTTCACCTCTGAACCTTCTTTCATTGTCTCATACCTGAGCTTTCAGGGGACATCTCAGATCTAAGCCATAACGAATGGCATGGAGTGACACAAGACTCTTCTAAAAGCCTGAATGGCCACATTTTTACAATCTAACGTGGCATCCTGCCATTTTCTGGGTAGAAAGCATATCTGAATACATGATGCAAAAATCACTCTTCTTATTTATAGTTACTTCAGTTGTTTCTATTTCTTTTAAATGTAAGCGTTAATAGTAGATGTTATTTAGAGCCCATTCTGATGTGCTAATTTTCAGTGCCACAACACTGTGTTATTAAGATTCAGTATATTTCAGCTCACAAATCTAACAAGAACAGATATCTTCAGTTTCTTATATGTACATTCCCAGAGGTTGAATGCAGTGCAGGAATGATGATTGATTTTTTTTTCTGAAATAAAAGACTCCTATGGCTTTGTGATATGTAACAACTTGTGTCATGCACCACAATTTTAAGGACAATGTCAAGCCAAACAGAAAATAAATCTGGCTTGATAGGGTCTTGAATGTCTGTTCCTTCAATAATTTGATATAGCTGCATGGAATACCTAGTATTTGTCTACATTATTCTAACCACTAGAAGTGTTCTGGTAGAAGACAGATATGGTCTCTGCCCCCAAAGAACTTGTATACATATCGAAAGAGAAAAGTGGACACATTTTAATGTACAGCAAATTTGAAAATTAAAAATGCTTAGAATATATTACAATGAAATTGTAATAAAGTAAGAGTTGATATGAGATGTAAATAATGGGAAAGCCATCACATCAGACAGGTGTCGAGTGCTCAAGAAAGAACAGCACGAGCAAAGCCCCCAAACCTGGGAGGAGCTCATTGTCATGTTGCAAGCATGACAGTCAAAAAGGCTATCATATAGAGATGAATCCAAGAAATAGGTGACAATATCACCTAAAGCTGAAGGCATTATTAGATGATCATAGTAGGAAAACAGCATAATCTGATTTGCACATCTATTGGTCCAGGAAATTTTGTGAACCAACATAATATTCTCAAACACCAAAGAAACACTGAGTGATAATCAGATTTCTGTCTTTATGAAGTACACTTACAAAAGCATGAACATGAAAGGAATTCAAATTAATAATGATCCAAATTGAAATGCCACGAATCAAAACAACTCTATTCTCTCACCCAGATGCACAGTTTTCTAAGTTTTTCCTAGAGTTAGGGATCAATACATGGATGACACGGGTTCCTCCTCAAAGAATGCAGAAACTTCACACAGACACACACACACACACACACACGTGCGCCACTCAGCATTGCAAAGAGAAACCAGCATTGGTGGGATGGGAGTTGGGTATGATTACAATAATGTCTCTTGTCCTAACTGGGACACTTATGAGAATGATAGGACACCAGTGATAACTACATCACAACAATAGGCATAACTGGGATTGTCCCTGGCATCTGTTATATAGACTTTTTGACCAAGGTTTGGTTCTAATCTTGTCTCAAACCAGCTGTGTGATTAGGAGCAGGGTATCATCCTTTCTGAGACATATGATGTATTACATTGTTCTGATTTATTGAACAACAACTGCCAAATATCTCACTGGAGAGACAGACAAATCAAGCACATTTCCAGCTCAAGGTCAAGTCAGAAAGCAAAGAAATTGTACTGTATTACAATACTTGAGACCACTGAAACCCCTACACCAGGGTAAAAAGTCTAGCGTTAACAGAATTGAGGAGTGATGATAACTCATATGAAGATATATCAAAGAATACTTCATGGGGACTTGGTGAAAAATGAGCTGAACCTAGAGAAAAGAACAGAAATTCATAAGAGAAGAATCATGTTCCATCCCAGATGAGAGTACCAATGTGTAAGGGCACAGAAGGGCACAGCACCATGGCAGGTCCAAGCAGTTATAGAGCTCGTTTAAGTAGGTGATCTCTAAGGTCCTACGCCCTAAAAATCTAAGGATCTCTCCTCTCAATGATGTCAAATATAATTTGTAAAAATTAAAATTTTACTTTCGTCCTCAAAGAATCATATATATTAATATTCTGTTTCCACTCCTCGATGACAGCCATTTGATCTATTTCTACTCACATGACATCTATTTTTATGAGCTGCACATATTCAGATGTACCTGGAAGTACATAAAAGGACTATGTTGAAGACCCTGGATAAATGCAAACCTCCCCATGAAATTATATATCATTATGTCCATAATAAAATAGATATGGAGGGAGTATAGAGCAGAATGTCAAAAATGCAGGGACAGTTAAGATCATAGCTAACGTTTACTGAATATTGAACATGAATGAGTTCAATTAATTATCACAATTCTATGTTAATTAGATGTAAACATTAGTTTAAAGATAGTTGAGGTATATATTAGAAAAAAACTTGCCTAAAGTAACCTGCTTAAAAATGGCAGAGCTGGTTGGGCATGGTGGTGCACACCTATAATTCCAGTGGTTTGGAGGCTCAGGCAGGAGGTTCGTGAGTTCAAAGCCAGCCTCAGCAAAAGCAAGGCACTAAGTAACAGTGAAACACTGTCTCTAAATAAAATACAAAATAGGGCTGGGGATGTGGCTCAGTGGTCAAGTGCCTCTGAATTCAATCTCTACTAACCCCTATTTTCCCCAAAAATGGCAGGGCTGGGATTTGACTGAAGAAGTCTGGCCCAAGGGTCTATGCTCTTAACTACTATAATACATCACTACATGCCTCTCACTAGTCATGTTAAGACTGTGGGGGGGACAATTCATGCTATATGCCCAGTGTTCCTTAATTCATCTTCACTTTAAGACAACACAGGGCATAGGGTGGAAAAATACTAACTGGATTTGAGCAGTGGCTTTTAGGGAGAAAAAAGATATGCAATGAGCAGAGACAATAAATTTTCACAATTAGATTCCCATTTTCTAATTCATCAGCCTGAACTTTGGGGACCCACAGTCAGAATGTTTGCCCTCTAGGTCTGTCCAATAGTTAAGAATTCAGCTGAGCCCACATGACATGAAAGACCTGGATTGGCTAAGGTTCTCATGGAAACAGTTAGATTTCTAATCAGTTGTTTGGATTACATCAAAGTTGTAAGGTCTTGAAGGTGAAGAACTCCATCTGTTAACCTCCTGTGTTTAGCATTTAAAAGAACTACAAGCAAATGGCAATTAGAGGTGGCTTTGCAGGCGATGGTGGTGGTGGTAATAGTAACAATAATAAGGTTAATGCAACTATACTGTGTATGTGCATCGTTCAAAGCTTGCAATTTTTAAATACATCGTATCCCATTTAATCCTAACATATGTATATTATTATCCCAATTTCCATACATGCACAGATGAAGTATCAGAGATTATAGAGACTTTGGAAGTACAAGAACTAGGATTTACACTAAATTTTCTAAATCTAACTGTAGCACTATCTCCTCTTCTCCACAGCTGCCTCTCAAACTGTCAAAAATTTTAGAAAGTCTTCCTGGTTTTCCATAGACAGAACTAAACACCCATAGCATACCCAGGTTTTGTTCTACCAACTGCCCCAATTTCTATATAAAAAATTCTAACACCACACAATGCATAATCCCTGCTCTAATCTCTAAATTGTTGAGGGAAGAAATTTGAAAATAGATGAATTTAACCAGTAAGTAGTCATGTTTTAACGCTGAGAACCAACCCAACACAGTACCAAAGCACGCTGCCTCTCATACAAAAGTCCAGGTGGATGGAGGGTATGACTGAATGCTTACCAATACAGGACTCCCCGGATAGTGAATAGGTCCCATCATCATGAAAACCGCTTCTGCACTCACAGTGGTACCACCCTGGCAGGTTAACGCAGCGGGAATGGTTGTGGCACTCAATGATCCCCTCTGTACATTCATCAATATCTGCCTCAGAGAAAAACACAAGCCCACCAGGACATTAATGTCTTTTGACACTAACCTTTTAGTAAATACCCCAAACATGCTCATGTCAACATATCAACTGTAATTGTTTAGTCACCTGAAATGAAAGTTACAGGAAGAACCAAATCCCATTATTTCTAGAATCATACACACAAAAAAAAATTTGAAAGTTTCATTCATAGATGCTTTCTCATGCTTTGGACAATGAATGACACCTTATGGTCACTGGCAAACAAAGACACTCCTTACTACAAATGCTACGTTGGCATCTGGACAACCAAAATCTAAATTCAGAACACTTGGCACCATTTTAAAATTGGTATGCCTGATTTTTCTTGGATTCAGCATTTCTAAATTAGTAATTTCAGATATTACTTTGTGGTCTTTGAAAGATACTTATGAAAAAGTATAATATATATGATATATATAATCTGCAAAGCTTTGAAAAAAAGAACGATAACATGGAGGGTTTATTATCAGATTTCCTTGGCTAGTAGATAGTTTTTATTGGGAATAACTTTGACATCTTAAGAAACTAGCGTTCTTTGAAACACAGTTTGGGAACTATAGTTCTAATTTATCTAAAACTGCTGATTGACTACGCTAGTCAATCAAAGGTCTTCATTCCTCACTTATTTCTCATGAAAAGAAGTCTCCAGAGCTTTGTTTTTTCTCTCTGATCTGGTTCTTTAGAATCAGCAAATACATGGATCACACATAGATTTTCTAGCCCAAAGACTTGCCTCTGGGCTGAACTTCGTTGACTCCATTGCAGAAAGAAGAGTTACTGATTGTTATAGCAGGGTAAGTTCATTCTTCCAGGATTTTTCCATGTAATTATTTCTTGGAATATAGCCATTGCTGGCTAGGAATATTCTCCTATTTCTCTTGGAAATATCTCAACTAGGGCATATCTGAACAGAAATTTAATTAACATTGGAATATAACACATAATTAATAAAAGGCACCCTGGGATCTCTTTCAGCAGGTCTCTGCTTTTGTTATCAGCTCAGGGGCAATTAGTTACCAGAGGCCTATTACTCTGACATGTACTGAGTTGTGCATTGAGCTGTGAATTTAGTTTGAAAACTGGCACTCTCATCTCATGATATCCTAGCCTAGACAGGAAAAGCATGTTTCCTTAAACTGGACTACTCCAGTTTTTCCTTTTACCACCAAACTGCCATCTTCTTCCTCTATGGTATTCAGTTTCCATAGTCTTTTCATACACAGCATCCCTCAGTCTTCTTAAAGCCATCAGGATCCACCCAGTGTTTCTATGGCACTTTCAGATATTGCAGTCAGATGATGTGTGCATTTAATATGAGTCCTCAGAAAATGAATTCTCAACAATTATTTAGATTGTCATTTCTTAAATTTTACAGGCATAGGTTTTCTGAAACAGAATATAGATGACTAAAATTTTTGAAAATGGAAGTAGAATGTAACTGGGAGCTGTAGCTCAGAGAGAAAAAGGGCTTAACCTGTGTCACCATCATCTCAGTGCATTTTGAATATAAGGAAATGAGAGATACAAACATAAGCAGAAGACTGATTTTCAGAGATGACGTCTCTGTTAGGACAAAAGATAACATGAAACAACAACAAACTCGATATATTTGTTCTCAGAAAAGTTTTCATGATCCCCACAGACCCATCACATTTAGGCTGTCAACAGCATTATAGGTATCAATCACCTAATTATATGGTTAGTGTTGGGGAAACCAGGAGATACAAAAGAAAATGCATCTCAAATAGCAAAAGCAATCGTATAACCTGACTTGCCTAGGAAAATCCTAGCTGTTCTTAAACTGCCCACCACTGCTAAAACAACCCAGTTTGCAGCATAAATTATCTGACCATTTTACATGTAATTCCATCCTAAATTTAATGGGAAGTTTTTAGAAAGAGCAGACATGATGAATGATGTGTAAATATGTTCTCAATTCATAGATATTTCTTTCCCAAAATTAAATGATGATACTGGATGTGGTGGTGCATACCACAGCAGCTCCGGAAGCTGGGGCAAGAGGATGGTGAGTCCAGTGCCAGCCTTCGCAAAAGTGAGGTGCTAAGCAACTCCACTGAGTTTAGACCCTGTCCCTAAATAAAATATAAAATAAGGCTGGGGATGTGGCTCATGGCTGAGTGCCCCTGAGTTAAAGCCCTGTCACCTGCCCCCCAAAAAATTAAATGATGAGATTAATGAGTTTTCATGATCTGGAAGGGCTGAAGTAATTGTATTAGACAGGAGACTTTTGTAGCCAGAGAAGACAATCAGACAATTTTGCATCTACAACTTCACCAGAGACACAAGTACATCTCTGAATTACATTGGAAATGACAAGAGTAGTGAAGATGTCGTTGGCTTGAAAGCTGCACTTTCCACAATAGATTCTGGGAACTTACTGGGAATAACCAGGGCTCATCACATACTGGCACCTGATAACAAGGCTGCACATTTATGTTCTCTGTGAAAGATTTGAAATTAAAAGCAGAAAATTCATTTTAGATACAACCATACTGCACATGGTAGGCTTTCAGCATGTTCATAAAACTGGCTCTTTCTTCTATGTAGTCTAAACAGTATTAAATGAAACTACCACAGACCTAAGTATGAAAAACACTTGGAGGTTTTCCAGCCACACACTGGGGAATTCACAAATTATAAATGATGGTTTCTCCCCAAGCTGGGTTGTGGCTGCCTTTGTCCTTAGAGATTTGTTTTCCCAGTCAGCATTTACTACTGGCAAACAAACAACACAGATGCTCTGGGAATGAGGTCCCTGTGAGTTCACTATGGACTTCGCCTCTCTTGCCCAAGAGAGGAAATTCTGGAAAATCACAGTGAACTCAGCTGCCCCTGTGTCAGCCATCCCAAAAGAAACAAACAAACAAACAAAAAATCCTTTTTCTTCCTATGCCAAGCCTAGGATTTTTGTTTAAATTTCAATTTAACTCAGCATTGACCTAGAAACATAATAGAGGAAACAAAAGATGCTGGGGGATTCTTGAGATTGCAACCGGTAGTGTTCATTTTTGTATCCTATCGCCAAGCGTCAACTACACAATAACAAACATTATTGCCCAGGACACACAGCTGAACCATGGTGAAAAGTGGAGTAAAACCACTGAGAGTGAGCCTGTATTTGGCACTCTTTTGTTATATCACTTTATCAGTGAATCAAGAAAGGATATAAAGACAATGCATGTATTTAATTTTCTAAATATTTTTGAGCTAAATACATATGTAAGAATTATTTTCATGCTGTGGTGTTTGCAAAGATGAATACGTCGTGATTGCTGAAATCCAGGAGTCCACAATCAAGGAAAAGAGGTATATATTTATACCTCTATATAAATATTATATATATTATATATATGTATATATTTATCATTCAAACCTCAACCAGTATCCCCCTTTCCAACCCTCCCTTCTCTAGTGACTCGGTACTTCTACACACAAATATCTTAGCACATATCTAAGTTTATCACTGATATTTCTTTTTTTGTTTCCATTATTCAAATGCAAGTTTTCCATGAACAAAAGTGACATATCCTTCAGGTTTACATTTCTCATGATAGCAAGTCAGTGGCATGCAATGGGAGAGGCTTGATAAAAGGTTATAGAATAGAATGAATGAATAAACTGAATGAATAATGTGGTGGATGAAAAGAAAAGTGATCAAGTGCTGCAACAGAATTCAAAATAGTGCAAGATTCCCTGCTGTATTCAAATTATAAGAATACAATGTCAATTCATAAAACTAAATATAATGGGGTTATACTTAGGTTATTTACCTCTAAAAGGCATCATGTGGTTTCTATTTAATATGTTGCGTCTACCTCTAATTTTCAGAGATTTTAAGGAGGCACAATAGGTAACAAAGGGACAGTTATAATTGCCCTCAGGGAACAATACTACCTGTACCATGAGTTTTATGCTTACTATTAGAAATAGATAAATACCTAAGGTTGTTCATAATATGTGTACTAAGCAATATGTTTATTCTTATTAGAAATGTATACAGAATTTTCTATGGAAGGCATTTATACACAAATACTAAAATAAAAATATTCTTGAATGAATGAATCTCTTCTTTCATCTAATCTTCTCTATATTGGATTTCTATTTGAAAATTTATAAAATTAATAGTCTTTTTCTTAAAGTTTTTTTTTTTTTTTTTCAAAGACAAGATTTTGTGTTTCCCTTTAATTGGTTAAAGCTTAAAGTAGTGGCTCAATCTGCAGTTGGATTACATCTTATGAAGGATCAGATACAGAGATGACAAAAGTTTTGGTATTTTCATTCATTTGGACAAAAGTTCATTGAGCACCCACCATGTTCTAAGCATTATAATACACCCTGTTATTCAGAGATAAAAAGACAAGGTCTTCATCTTCCAGACAGAGAGTCTGTTAGAGACAATTGCAATAAAATAAATTAATAAATAACGGTGGCTAAGAACACACACTTTGCAGGCTGTGGTTGTCATTCAGTGGTAGAGTGCTTGCCTGGCATGTGTGAGGCCCTAGGCTTCATTGTCAGCACCACATAAAAATAAATAAATAAATAAAGGTATTGTGTCCATCTGCAACTAAAAAAAGTTTGATTTTTTTTTAAAAGAACACATACTTTGCAGAGAAACAAAACTTAAATTCTTGTTCACCAATACTCTAATAGATGGTTTTGATATCTTAAGTCTTAACTTGTTGAGACTAAGAGATAATTTCTGAATCTTTTAAGGGATTCACTTAGATTTTGAGACAATTGTAATATTGTAAAATATTCAGTATATATAGTTATATAGTATAGATTTATAGCAGCTATAAATCTATACTATATAACCCCTAAAGATTTAAATTCTCCCCCACCCCCCAACAAAATAACATAAATTTAAGGACATGGAATTAGTAACATAAATTGCTACAAATATAGCAAACACAAAATTCAGTTGTTATCTAATATTTACCAGGGGTCA